AATCAAAATGTAATGGAAGATATAAAATATGAAAAGGTACTCAACCTAAAAAAAATGCACTAAAAGGAGAAGAGTCTGTTTGAGATGAAGAGAGACTAAAGAGCTATAAGGACCAAATGAATCTTGATCAAGACTGACCCACAAACAAACAGAAAAACAATAAAGAATATTTGGGGAACTAGGAAAATCTGAATATTGATATTACAAATTAACGCTTACTTTCTTAGGCATAATAAAAGTGTGGTTATATAGGAAACTGTTCTTATTAGGAAATGCATGCTGAAGTGTTAGGATGTCTCTGCGACCTTCATACAGTTCAGCAAAAATAACAAGCATATGAAAAAGCAAATGTAAAATATTAGTAACTGGTAATTATAGGTGAAAAGTAAAAGGGTATTTATTATTCCTGTTTTAAAATGTTTCTACAGATTTTCAGAAAAAGCCAGAGAGATAAAGAGATATAGAAAGAGAGAGAGAGAGAGAGAGACCAAGCCATCTTTGTTCAATAAATACTAGAAAAAAATTTAATCAAAGGAACTGCTAGGTGATAGAGCATGCATATGTATATATACATATATATATAAAGACAAATCTAGCTCTTTTCCCCCAGGCTGGAGTGCAATGGCATGATCTTGGCTCACTGCAACTTCTTCCTCCTGGGTTCAAGCCATTCTTCTGCCTCAGCCTCCCGAGGAGCTGGGATTATAGGTGCCTGCCACTATACCTGGCTAATTTTTGCATTTTTAGTAGAGATGGGGTTTCGCCATGTTGGCCTCAAACTCCTGACCTCAAGTGATCTGCCCACCTTGGCCTCCCAGAGTACTGGGATTACAGGTGTGAGCCACTGTGCCTGGCCTTATGCATATCCTTACATAAGATATTAGTAAACTGCTCTTAATTGGTTGTACCACTGTCCCCACCAATATCTATGTTTTATTTACTAAAATCAAAAATCTGGAGATATGAAACGAATAGGGCAAAATGTTGAAATGTGACAACACAGTGTTAGGTGGCAGCATGGGTATTTATTACGTTAGCTCCATGCTTTTCTGTGCTTGAATATTTCTTTAAAAATACATACATACTTATAAGATATATCAAATCAGCCATCACAAAGATGACGTGGCCCTTGAGAATATTAGAAAATGGGCTGATTCAGCATCACCCAAACCATCAAGAGGAAATAGTCTCAAGCTGCTGCGTGATGCAGCCTAGTGAAAAAAGGATGAAGGTAATCTACTCCTATCCCTCTCTCTCCCGACTTGGAAGGCCTGTTAACATGCCATCAGGGAGCAAACACAACCAGGAGGAAGAGGGTGAGACCCTAAGAGTACGGCCATGTTTAAGTAGCATCACCTGCAAGGGAAAGGCATGAGTCTGGCAGACACCAGCGCCAAGTCCCTCAGGAGCTGCTCTCGTGAGACAGCTCCCATCCCCTCTGCTCCTTGCCCACCCCAAACTTTTGTTCACTCCTTTAGCATCCTCAGGCCCCTGCTACTGGGAAGAGACGCTTCAGAAGGAACAGCTGCCACTGTGAGTATAAATGGGCATTCCGGTGGAGCTAGCTAACAACACTCCCTGATATTCTGTGCAGTAATCAATCTGAAGCCCCATCAGAACCAAGGACCAAGGCCTGCCCAGGCTCTAGACGACATCTCCACATGGTTGTTCCAGAACTAAAATACAATTCAAACTGGATGCCAAATGTCAGAAAAAATCCCTCTTTGAGAACTGAACCCTCCCCACCGAACCTCACATTCCACCGAATCACACAGCATACCCGAGAGTACTGCAGCTTGTCCACAATGTCATCACTAATGAGGGGAATTAATCCTGTAAAAAACAGAAAAGCACTTTAAAGACCACCAAACAGACAAGCCAAAATGAGAACCCAGAAGCCCCCTAGGGGTGAGGCTGGAAGGACACCCCCTCCTGACACTAGGCACAGTACCCTCCCTTTAATCTTCTAATACGAGGAGTACTCACCAAGCCTGTGAGCGATGAACTCATCATGAAGGACTGAGGAATTGGCATCAATTTGAACCCAGTCAATGGCTAAAAAATGAAGGAAGGAGACCTGGAGTTTAACCATCTAATTTACCTACAAACTTAAGGCAGTTGCTCTCAAGATTTAGGAATCAACTGACACTAAACTGCAGATGGCTGGGGCTGACTCCACAGCACTAGAGTGCGAATGTTACAGATGAGGAAACTGCAGCATACAGAAGTTTAGTAACTTGCCCAAGTTTCACAAAAATACTAAGTGATGCAGCCATAGAAAGAACAAAATCATGTCCTTTGCAGCAACATGGACATGGCTGAAAGCCACTTTCCTCTTTTTTCTTTTCTTTTCTTTTTTTTGAGACAGAGTCTCGCTCCATTGCCCAGGCTGGAGTACAGTGGCACAATCTCGGCTCACTGCAACCTCCACCTCCTGGGTTCAATCAATTCTGCCTCAGCCTCCCCAGTAGCTGGAATTGCAGGCATGCACCACCATGCCGGGCTAATTTTTATGTTTTTAGTAGAGAGGGGGTTTCGCCAAATTAGTCAGACTGGTCTCAAACTCCTAGCCTCAGGTGATCCTCAGCTTCAGCCTCCCAAAGTGCTGGTATTACAGGTGTGAGCCCCGCCTGGAAGCCATTATCCTACGAGAATTAACACAGGAACAGAAAACCAAATACCGCATGGGAGCTAAAACTGGGCACACAGGGACATAATGATGACAACAGACACACTGGTGACTACTAGAGCGGGGAGAGAGGCACTGGGGCTACGGGTGAAAAACTACCTATTGGGTACTATGCTCACTACCTGGGGGAAAGGATCATTCACAACCCAAACCTCAGCATCACGCAATACACCCAGGCAACAAACCTGCACCAATGTACCCCCTGAATCCAAAATAAAAGTTTCTTTTAACAATAGTAGTGAAAACAGTATTTGAAGTCTGCAGACTGCTAAATTCATGCTTCTCAGCAATGCACACACAGAACAACGGTGGACCTAAATGGCCCATGGGCGCCAGGGAGGCGGTCACTGGGCCAAGGGCACAGAGTATGGTCAAGTCTCCAGCAATGCACTTTTCTCAGCACTCCCATCCTCAGCCCGAACTGGAAGGAGCCCCAGAGTGTGGGTGGAGGGGGGAAGGGACCCGTGGCCCCGGGAACGAGGAAGGGGGGGCGCTTACCTATTATGGGCACCTCAGCGATGAAGACCCTCCGAATCGAATTGGCCACGCTGAAGGATGAAAAGCCAAGGGGCGTGAAGGTGGCGCAGCTTCGACAGGCTGGTCCCGGGCCGCAGGTTCCCAAAGCTAAAGACCTCGCGCCGGGGGCAGCTCTGGAAGGACATCGCCCCCACCCCACTATATCCCCGCCCCCAACCCCCCGGGCCCCCGCTTGGGCCTCCGGCGCCCGAGAGCTGCTAGCCTCTTCCCTAGACAGCCTTACGCCAGGTCGGTGTTCTCGATGATGAACTTGACATTCTCGTCGGTGAGCTCCGTGATCCGCACGGTGGGCTGGTTAGCGTACGGCATCGCTCCCCGCTCCCGCCAGCCTACTCGTCAGGTCCGCGGTGACTGCGCCTGCATCACCGCCGACACCGGAAATCAGTCAGCGCGGCCCCCGCGGCTTCCGCAAAGACGGCTCACAGCGCCGCCTGCTGCTCGGAGGCCGGGACCGCCAGGCGACTTCTGCCCACTCCTGCTTTAAAAAGTACCAGGTTCAGCTGTCTCGGAGGGCAGTTTGGCAAAACATGCATGTCCTTGACTCAACAGTAACACTTCTGAGAGTTCATACTGCAGAAACACTTGCAGTTGTAAACAAAGATACGAGTTCAGGGACGTTCGTGGTAGTAGTTTGTAATGGCAGAAGCAGCAAAACTGTCCATTGGTAAGAGACCTGGTGAAGTATACACACACAGAATACTATGAAGCCCTTAAAAAGAACTTGTACATCTATAGAAAAAACAAAAGTATATTTTAATATGAATGTATATTTTAGCAAAGTATACCTGGATGCCCTTTCCCTTGCACTCTCAAGGATGGACCATGCACTTGCTGAAAACTGCAGGAAAAGATACAATGTTCTTTACTTTAACCTAATGCATCCTCTATAGTCTGTGTAGCTGTGGCGAGTGGGAGCTCTTTGTCTCTGCATCCTCAGTGCTTGGCAGTGGGCACCATGTGGGGTGCATGTTCAACAAAGAACTACTGAAGTCCCCTAAACAGACTGGAGAGAGGTTTAACTGAGCCTCAAAAAAGTGGCAGCTGCTCCCACAGAGAAAAGCAGCTCTAAAATAGAACCTGGCAGGAGCTACATTTTAGGGGAGGGAGAGTAACCAGATAAAGCGGAGTTTGCCTTTGACACCTCTTCCTGAGACAGAGGGTGGGCACTGAGGGAACCTTGTTCCATATCCTGTGTCATCTTGGTAAATTAAGAATTATGGTTGTCTGCTGAGTGTGAGATGGATGCTATGAAGGAAAAACGAGAATGCAATGAAAAGTGGAACAGCTACTGCAAAAACTTCACAGTGTGTCAAGAGATACAAGGAATTAAGAGAGGTGCAAAAAAGATCCAGTGGAAGGCCCACAGATCTGAAATTCAATTAGTTGCTGACTTCCCCCATTAATATTCAGCTGACTTAGGCAGAAGAGAGCAAAGCAGAAAACAGAGTTAAACAGACATGCAAAGGGAACCTAGCCAGTGCAGAGGCTGAGAAAATTACTGGGGTTAAAGAATATACCACTGAAATGGTTAGTCAGACAAGAGCAGCCAAGGGAGCTAATGGTCTCTGGGAAGGCTTTTGTTACCCCTGTTTTACTGATGGGAAGACCTGAGCCCAGAGATGCAGAGGTACAATAATTACCACTATGTATTAGGCAGTGGCAGTGCCAGAACATAGGTCTCCTGGCTGCCAGCTTCAAGCCTCTTCCAAAACCTCTGTCTCCCTCTGGGGTCTTGGATACCTATCATGGTTGATGAGGAAACTATACAACAGGAAACTGCTTCAAACATATTTATTATTTTTACAGACTTGAAATTCACTAACAATCTTGCAATGCATGCCAGTGTCATGTGACACCAGGCCTGGGATCACACCTCTGTCCAGCAGGCACTTGTCTCAGGTGAGGCAGTTTTCTGAGGGGTTCCCAGGAGCAGCATCTCAGGACCCCTGGGAGGTAGAGGGCTGCAAGTGTACTGTGCTGGGGATGAGCAGCCACCTTGAGGTGGCTTCAGACCTTGACTCTGGCTTGGGAGCCCCAAGGTTAAGGGACGGTTAAGACATGATGAAGGTGCCCATGAGATCGTGACAGGGACATGGCTTGAATGCTTGGATGAACATCTCATTTTTCAATCAGTCAGCTGCAGTGCAGAAAGGCATCCGGAGGCTTGGCCTGGTAATAGGAACTGAAGAAGTGGCCCAATCCCTGACCAGAATGGTAGCATCCAATGCCCTGTGGTTTCCAGGTAGTGTGGCAATGCCTCAGGAGTCCTTTAGTGTGTTCTCATGAAAACCAGCGTATGTGGAGGGCACCTCATACTTTTCAAAGCCCTTTCAATCTGTCTGCTTGTTCTCTTCTAGGTACTGTAGCTTACACCCCTTCCTCTCACCGGCGCTGGTTTAAACCTGTCAAGTTCTTGAGCTGACACGGGAATGGAAATAAAGAGAAGAGTGAGGGCTTACCCTGCCTCTAGACTTTAACAGAAAAGATCTAGCTTTTCTCTCTCTCTCTTTTTTTTTTTTTGCATGGAGACAGGGTTTTGCTATGTTGCCCAGGCTGGCCTTAAACTCCTGGGCTCAAGCAATCTTCCCAAAGCGCTGAGATGATATGCGTGAGCCACCACACGTGGCCAAGATCCAGGTGTGCAAGGTGGCACACTGATCTCTATGATACAGAGGCTTGATATACCAGGATCCCAGGAGTCTGTGATACCTCCTGATACCAGGAAAGAATAAAGAAGTGAGGTTTTTGGAATCAAAACACTAGGACTGAACCACTGTCAGCCTTATTATTAGGTTTCCAGTTTAGAGCTACAAAATGTGTGGTCAGTAACACAGGTATCACAAGAGTGGGATAGAGAGGGACAGCGATGTGCTGGGCAGTACTTACTGTCACTGCTGCACCCATTAGTCCTTGCACCAGTGCCTCTCCGGTGGATTTTACCTAGAAGAAGTCAGTGTCAGGTTCCCTTAGGCCACAACACAATCTTAAAGTTGAGACAGGCAGGGCAAATTAGGAGGCCTATGAGCCCCAAAAGGTGGAGACAAGTCGACCATGTTACTGGAAGGAGAGCTTTGGACAACACAATCACAAATGGGCAAAGTACGGCTCTTAGGGAAGGACTGGCATGAGGAAGAACCAGCCAGGCTCCCTGGGAAGGCCCTCAGGACTGTCAGCTAAGGCCAAAGGGGAGCAAGAGAACCAGCTGTGGCCTGAAGAGAACAAGCATGCCTTCTAAAGAGAGTTTCTCAGTGGCTTGTCCCCAGCTACCTGCTTGGCAGTGTGGCCCATGTTCATTGCATCATTAATCCGGTTTTCCAGGAAGCGCCAAGTATCCTCGAAGTCTGGAGAGGAGTCCTGCATCATCACCAGCTCTGATGTGTTGTAGATGCCAGCCAGCATGGCTCGGCGGGTGTACCAGTTAAACTGCAAAGAAAACCACGCTACTGCTGTGGGCTGGTACAAGTCTGAGGTAGTTCCTACCCAAGGCCATGGGAACTCCTGGGTTCCCTCAACTACTTCTTTCCCTCAGAGATATATCCAGCCCTCTGGACAACACTATCATTTCAAACTTGACTGAGTATCACAATTACCTGGTTGATTAAAAATGCAAGCTCCTGGGCCCAACCTCTTAAGAGCAGAGCCAATGTATCTAAATTAAGTGCCAGGAATCAGGATGTTTAATAAGCATCCTAGGTGATTTGGCTACATCCAATCCATTCTGAAATTGCTAGTAGAAAGCCTAAATCTTAGGACATCTGAGTCCCAGAAGACTCTGTAATCAGCCAGTTATGGCCAAACCTTGGTGTGTTCATGAATAAAGTGAGGGCTGAGACAGGCTCATGGACAGATTACAATACCTGGGCAAAGCTGAGAGTTCAAGCCCCTCCGCAACTTCTAATTGTTCTGGCAAACTACTCTTCAGAGGACCAGCTCAGCCACTTGGTGTTTTATTCCTTTAATTTCTTTGCTTTCTAATTTCATTTTCCTACCATCTCTGTTGGTGGTATATTCCCACATGGGGGAACTTTATTAAAACACTTTGTTGTAACTATGTTGGGAGTATCTCTGTGCCTCCTCATCCATGATTCCACAAAGTACCATCACATTTTAATGTCTTTTATGAAGGTGTATTTTTTAAAATTTCCTACCAGAAATATGATAGCATTAACAAGTCAGATTCTTTCCTGGTGCTGTTTAAAGAGCCTTATTGATCTGTTAGCAAAGAAGGCCAAGGTGGGCTGGGGAAGGGAATTTCTTTTTAAAGCACTGGGTGTCTCCATGGCATTTTTTTCAAAAGGGGAATTTTGCTGCAGAATCTACATTTTAGGAGAGAGGGAAATGATAATAAAAAAGGCAGCCCAATTAGCTTTTGCCAATGCTAAAGGCCCCCTGATATCTGGTTGTCACCGCCACAAGCTGGAAGAAATAGTAACTGGTTTGTGGCTAGAATGCTGGTCCCTGAATGAAGATGACCTAGATCCCACTTTGGCTTCTTGAGGGATCTTCCTCATATCTAGATGGGAATGACACTGCAGCCACCCCCCCATTGCCCCCGGCAGGGGCTTGTGATCAAAGAAATTTCACAAGCTTCTTGAAGAAATTCTTAACACAAGCCTTTCCCAGCCTCCTGTGGGCCTGCAGAAAGCACTCACATCAGTGGACTGGTCCCCAGCGTAATGCCACATGTCATCCACCATGCTGGTGAGCAGGCTCAGGCTGGACGGGATGTTGTGAGGGAGCATGAGGATGCTGAGGGCCTGGGAAGAGAAGGGCAGAGGCGTAAGCCCTGCTCGCAGGTAATGGTGCATAGGTGACCAGCATCTACCTCTCCAAGAGCTGTATGAGGGGGCCTGCCAAGCTATAGTTCTCTGAGACCACCATCTTCACCCACCAGTGTGAGTTCTGGTCAGCTATCAATGCTGACTACAGCTGAGGAGAGCCAGGGGCATGGCCCTGTCTTATGCAAGCCCAGGCACATTCTCCATCCCTCGCATTTGGAACTGGGAATGCAGAGCGCCAGAGGGTCTAGACTGGTCTAAGCAAGGATGGGTGAGAACATCCCAGTCTGTTACACAGAGGAAGGGGCAGAGATAGGAGTCCATGCACACACATCAGCTCCTACTGTCAAACAGAACAAGGCCCTGCCACTTTACCAATGCTGCATCCATTGGGGAGGTGGTCAGAGAGGTCCTAGATTGGCTGTAAGGTTTCTCTTAGTGAGGTAGCCCAGAAAGAAACACTATGCCGAATCAGAAAGGCAGCTGAGGGCCTCATACAGGCACTTCCACTGCTTTAACTGCAAGGTGGAATGAGTCAGGCACCACCGTAAGTGTTCAACTGTCTATCAACTGAATGACTGAAACTACATGCTCAATAGTCTTCCAGGTGAGCAAAGGACACAAGATGTCTGAGTCCCTCTCACTTCGGGTGTGCTTATTTAAGTGAAGACAGCCAATAAAATCTTCTGACTCTTCTAACCTGCATGGATTCCTCCTCCCTGCAGACCTGGTGGCACACTCAGGCCACTAGGACCCCACCCAGGATGGGATCCAACACCCGGATCACTCACATTTCCAGGGACCAAGACACAGATGCCTCAGTCACTCTCTTTGGTACACCCAAGTTTGAAACCCAGCTCTACCAAGCATACTAAGTATTCTTGGGTTTATGGAGACTGATGAGCTAGTTCTGAACAGTGTACAAAGTCTTCTGAGTGAAAGGTGCTGAGAATGATAAATATTAGGATTATTGTTGCTCTGGGGCCTGGATATGGACTCGGTACCCGGGGCCAGTGCTCAATGTACGGGATCAGCATTCTCAGTCTGGTTTCCACTGCATCCCTCAGGAACTGGTCTGTCTTCTTCTTCCTGGAAGAGGAAAAAGAAAACAGTGTGTCTCTGGGGGAAAGTCAGGGGCTCAGTGCTCCACAGTTTACTTAGTCCTAGGGAAGAGGGTCCCACCAGCTCCTGACACTGGCTTGACTAAAGCTGTCAGAGACAGCTTTGGGTTTCAGTCCCATCACAGCAGCAGGGCTGCCCAATGCTACTCTCTTTGGGTTCTGCTTAGATTGGCCTCCTGGGGACAGCTGGTAGGGCCCAAGTTCCCTGATCATTAGCCGCCACCCTGAGTTGCCATGGGACTTACTCTGACTGGCCCAACTGTACCAGCTTCTGCTCCTCTTCCAGCACGCGTGTCAGCCGGGCGTTGCACTCGGTCACAAAATGCAGTATTAGCTCACTGCCGTCCTTCCCAAACATGCTGGCGGCTGCACTGGAGAGACCCAGAGACTACAGAAGGGGAGACAGAAAACAGAAAAGCGGTGCCCAAGTGTAGGGGACATTTGTTGCCTGTTCATCACTAGAGCCTCTTCTAGGGACGCCAGCTTGGTTTTCAGTGGGACACCCCTATTCTTTACTCTGGGCCCATGTGATTTTGGTGAAGCTAACCACCACTGGTCCCTCCACCCTACAAAGCCCCTTGGTGTGTGTGCAAGAGTGGGATCCAGTATTGGATAACTGGAGTCCACAGGGACTGCTCAGGGATGAACACATCAACAGGCCTTTGTTTTTGTGTGTGGGTGTGTTTTTTTTTTTTTTTTTTTTTTTTTTGCAGAGACAAGGTCTCACTAGTTTCTGAGGCTGGTCTTAAATTTTTTGCCTCAAGCAATCCTCGTACCTCAGCCTGCCAAAGTGCTGGGATTATAGGTGTGAGCTGCCATGCCCGGACTCCAAATCCAGGTCTTAAGAGTCCACCTTAGGACTTTTGCTAGTACTCATAGAAAAGAGGTGCTCTCCACTGGGACTGCTGAGCCATTTTCAGTCCTGCATGGAAAGACCCTGCTGAGAAGGTAGCTCATAGGAGGAAAGCAAAGCTGAGAGGATGGAGAGAGCTCCTGGCAGCACAGCTGAAGAACACTGTGCCAGAGCTACTCCTGGATCTTCTAGCTTTAGCCAGTTGGAGATGAGCTTTGGCACTTCTCACCTGGAGTCCTAACTAATATAGAAGGGGGCTTGGGAAAAGCACACATAACTCCCTTCCTGACAAATTCATATAACCTAAATCTCTTAGAAACTGGGTCTCTCAGTTGTTTAAAACAGCAACATAACTTTCTTAATGAGTTGCCAAGGAGTTTTAACAAAGCCATGAAAACCCTTTGCTATTCCTGATATACAGCAGTCCTTAAGCATCTACTGAAGGCAGAACCCTTACAGCAGCAGGGACTAAGGGCAAGAAAGAAGCACACGCATACACACACAAATTCAATATAAATTCCTACTTTTGGGAGTTGGGAAACTGCCTCTCTTTGGGTGGAAGTTCATAGCCTTTCCAGAGGACAATCTGACACAGCAGAGTTGCAACAGCATCATATTAACAGTGACCTCATGCTTTCCCAAGTGCAAGGCAGCTTGCTAAGCACACCGCATACACCATCTCATTGCATCTTCACAACACTTCTGTTTGGTGGGTGGTATTATCATCCATGTTTTACAAATGAGGAAACTGAGACTTAACACTCTTAACCACAAGGCCATACTGTCTCCATATGTATGTAACAAGAACCTCAAAAATATACATACTCACTGAGCCAGTTATTAAGTTACAGTCTCTTGGCTGCAATCCTGCCCGTCTATACTCGGTTTGTGATGTCAGGACTGGGACTCTGCAAACCACATTTCTACTCCCTGCTAGGCTCTGCCAATAGGGTTACTAGAGGGGGTCTGCAAAGCTGGAGGACGAAGAAGGGACTTGCTCCTTCCTCTTTGCTTCCTGTCTGCTTGTGATGTTTTTACTTCCTGGCTGTCTGATGCGAGCATCATCCCAGCTGTGCTCCTTCACCCTGGCAGTTGTAGTTCCTTCCCAAAGTAGCAGCTGAGCCCAGTTTACAGTTTTCCAGAGCCACAAATCCCCAATGCCCCACCACATCCTCCACACCTTCCCAAACCCCCATCACAGCCCCAGCTTGGGTGCCAGCCCCAACTGACCCTTTCTCTCTAGACACTAGCACCAGCCAAGTAGTACCTCATCCTCAGAGGTTTGAGTTTCCCTTCCACAGGGACTCTCCTTCAAGCTTCTAGTTTTTTATTTTTTTATTTTTTTTGAGACAGAGTGTCACTCTGTCACCCAGGCTGGAGTCCAGTAGCAAGATTTCAGCTCACTGCAACGTCTGCCTCCCAGGTTCAAGTGATTCTCCCACCTCAGCTTCTGAGTAGCTAAAATCACAGGCCACTATGCCACCATGCCCAGCTAATTTTTATATTTTTAGTAGAGACAGGGTTTCACCATGTTGGCCAGGCTGGTCTTGAACTCCTGATCTCAAGTGATCCACCCACCTCGGCCTCCCAAAGTGCTGGGATTACAGGTGTGAGCCACTGTGGCTCAAGTTTCCACTTTTAATATTTTAACTCTTCCCTTTGTTTGCTTAGTCCTGGGGGTAGAGTTACTTCCTTCAGCTGCTACCTCTGTAATACCTCAGAGTGTTCTTTTTATCTTTACACCTAGTTAACAATCTTTTGTATTAAATTCTCTCTATTCAAATACCCAGTATGGTTTCTATCTGGACTGAATCCTCACCAATACACCCCTGAAAGAGCAAGTCCACTTCTTGAAATTGGTCATAAAGAAATTAATCAGAAATGTACTCAAATATGTTGTACAAATAAGTTTACACAGCCAGGCGTGGTGGCTAGTGCCTCTAATCCCAACACCGTGGGAGGCTAGGCAGGGCACTTGAGCCCACAAGTTTGAGACCAGCCTAAACAATATAGTGAGACCCCATCTCTACAAAAAATAGAAAAAAAAATTAGCCAGACATAGTCCCAGCTACTTCAGAGGCTGGGGTAGGAGGATTGCTTGAGCCCAGGAAGTTGAGGCTGCAGTGTGCCATTACTGCACCACTGTACTCCAGCCTGGGCAACAGCGTGAGACCCTGTCTCAAAAACAAAAACAAAAACAAAAACAAAATAGGTTTATGATACTAAAAAACTGGGAACAACCCAAATGTTTATCAACTGTGGTTAAATACAACAGGAATTATATGATCACTATGAATGAAGATATACAAAATGAAAAAATCAGTTAACTATAAAGTATAATCCTGTTAGATTGTTCGGAAAAATCAGATTACACTTTATATTCTATAGTTAACTGACTTTTTCACTTTGTGTGTCTTCTGATTTTTCCAAACAATCCTGTCCTCTATTTATTCTACCACTTTCTGTAATGATTCTTTCCACCCTTCTCCACTTCCCTCAAACCTTTGTTTCTTTCTACCTTTTTTTAACCTCAGGTTCACTAAACCACACCGACTTCATAAGGAAAACAAAGCCATCCCCGGGAACTCCCTTAATAGTCCTCTACAAACTAGGCCTGCAGCTGCTTTCTCAAACTTTGCGCCTAACACATCTAAGGCCAGTCCTTCCATCTGTTGTCCAGATCCCACAATTCTACTTCAAAGAACTGCATCCTCTTGATTTTGCCTGTTTTCTCTTGTAAATTCACCCTCATTCTTGTTTCTTTCCTTTTCTTTTTCTTTTTTTTTTTTTTTTTTGAGACAGTGTCTCGCTCTGTCACTCAGGCTGAAGTGCACTGATATGACTGCAGCCTTGATATCTTGGACTCAAGCAATTGTCCCACCTCAGCCTGGGACCACAGGCATGCACTACCACATCTGGCTAATTTTTTAATTTTTTTGTGGAGATGGGGTCTCACCATATTGCCCAGGTTGGCCTCAAATTCCTAGCGTCAAGCAATCTTCCTGCCTTAGCCTCCCCAAGTGCTGGGATTACACATGTGAGCCTGGTCCACTCTTGTTTCTGCACTCTTCCCATTTGTGTTAAATCACGTGCAAACTTCCATCCACTTCCGCTGCTTGGTATACCCTAGCTCTCTTCTACCCTTTGCAGCCAAATGCCTCTCCACTTCCTCACTTTCTATGCACACCTTGATCTACTCCAGTTGATTTCTGACCCAGTTCTCCACCCAAACAGTTGTTGCTCCAGTAACCAATGTCCAGCTGCTTAATCCACACCCTTGCTTTGCCTCCAACGTGCAGATGCTCTGACTCAGACTTTGATGGCTCATCCTATTCTACTCTCCCCTTAAATGTCCAAGTTCCTTGAGAGTATAGACTCTCCTCTCGTATGGCATTATATTATTACCCTGGAAAATCTCACTGACTTCCATAATTACTACATATATATAGTATATATACATGCAGGCTGATAATGCCCAAATGTGTATCTGTAGTACAGCTGTCTCCTCCAGCTCCTGATCTGTATGCCTGATGCCTCCACTGGTTGACTCAAAGACTTCTCATACTCAACAAAGATCGAGACGGTACCCTTCCCCAAAGCTGGTCCTCCCAATGGCTCTAATCTTAGAAAACACCACCACTGTGTACCCACACATGCAAACTGGCAACTTTGATGCCATCTTGTCACTCCCTCCCATGTCCAAGCTATCCCCAGACCTACCCACTGCCATTGCTCTAGGCCAGACCACCTCATCTCCCCTGGATGTCTGGCAGCAGCCCCCAGTGAGTCTCTCCGGGCATCCAATCCACTTTTCATTCAGCAGCCAAAATAAGCATTTTGAAATGCCAAATTTAATCCAATATCTTCAACTGTTCTTAGAAAAAAAGCCTGACTCCTTATCAATGACCTTTAGGGCCTTGCCTGATTTGACCTCAACTGACCCTTCCCAGTCGTACTCACCAGAAGTCTCTCTTCCTTCACTCTCTGCATGGTGGTTCTCTGTGGTGCTTCTAACGGAGCATTCTCCTTTTTCTTTCTACCTTGCCAGTGCAGTTTCTCTATTTGGACTTGTCCATCCCTCACCCACAAAGTCAAGTAAAGCCTATTCATGCCTTAATTCTCAGCTCAAAAGCCTTTCCTGACCACCCTGTCACCCACCCCATATATGGTTTTTTTTTTTGAGACAAGGTCTCACTCTGTTGCCCAGGCTGGAGTGCAGTGGCATCATTACGGCTCACTGCAGTCTCAACCTACTAAGCTCAAGAGATCCTCCTACCTCATACTCCCAAGTAGCAAGGATCACAGGCAAGCACCTCCACGCCTGGCTAATTTTTACATTTTTTGTAGAGATGGGGTCTCTCCCTAGTTTGCCCAGGCTGGTCCCAAACTCCTGGGCTCAAGCAATCCTTATGCCTTGGCCTCCGAAAGTGCTGGGATTATAGGGGTGAGCCACTGTGCCCAGCCCTCCACCCATTTAATAGGACAAATTAAACTATTTGTCATAGTTTAATAGGCAACATGTTTTCTTTTTTACTGATGCATTTAAAAATGGTGCTTCTTAAAACCAATGGCATCTTAAAGTCAATGAAAGATGGTAGTTTTGATTGCAGACAATTCTGGCCTAATAGGTTGCCTTTACAGCACAAATCCCAAGAACCAACTCCACAAAATAAAGCCATTTCCACCCTATTGAGGGGGGGAAAAAAACAGTCAATCTTGCAGCTGTGACCTGATCTAATAATCAGATCCCTTAATTATACAGCCCAACAGCACCTTTCCTTGATGGCACTTACCACATCTTCTAAGTAAATATTTATTTATATTTTATTTATGTTGCTAGACTGGAAGGTCGACAAGGGCAGGAAGCAGGTCCATCTTGACCACCTTGACCCGTCACGTCCCTTGGACTAGCACAGTGTCTAGGGCACATTATTTGCTCAATAAACATTTAAAGAGGCCGGGCGCGGTGGCTCACACCTGTAATCCCAGCACTTTGGGAGGCTGAGGCAGGCAGATCACCTGAGGTAGGAGGTTTGAGACCAGCCTGGCCAACATGGAGAAACCCCATCTCTACTAAAAATACAAAATTAGCTGGGCTTGGTGGCACATGCCTGTTATCTCAGCTACTCAGGAGGCTAAGGCAGGAGAACTGCTTGAGCCCGGGAGGCAGAGATTGCAGTGAGCCGAGATCGCACCACTGCACTCCAGCCTGGGCAACAAGAGCGAAACTCCATCTCAAAAAAAACAAATTTACAGAATGAGTGATATAAAGGTTTTTTTTTTTTATTTGAAAGAACTAGCCATAAATGTTGATAGTGGGATCTTTAGTGTGATCATAGATGTTCTTTAAATTCTTTTTATATTTTTTGTATTATTCAAAGTTTTCACAATGAGCCTACAGCAGAGTCAGAGCATTCACATTTCGCCAATGAGACTTCTGTTACCAAATGCGCACTTGGGAGTGAGAGAAGACAAGGAAATAACAGTTACACTTCAGTAAAGCAGCAACCTTGCCCATGGTCCATGGGGAGATACTCTGCAGCAAGCCTGGGATGGAAGCTGCAACTCTGTCATCCCCTCAGGCTCCTAGAGGATGGTGTCTTGCTATGCTGGAAGACTCTCTACAACATGGCCTGAACACGAGCCTACTGCCTAATCTAAAGCAGCAGTCTGTACTAATATAGGAAATGCCTTAGATTTACCGAGAAAATAAGATGTATTCGTCTCCAAAGTGGTGCCTTCTTGGGGGTTTCCAAACACCGTATGTCATTAATTCTAAGATGCAGATATATTTTTCAGTTTAAAAAATCAGTATGAACTATAGAAGTGCTCTGTCATAGTTCAATAGGCAACATTTTTTTTATTAATGCATTTTAAAATGGTGCTTCCTACAACCAATGGCATCTTAGAGTCAATGAAACATGGTAGTTTTGATCACAGACAATTCTTACCTAATGGGAAAAAAAAAAAAAAAAAAAAAAAACACAGCTCCATGGTACGTTCTTTATAACTACAAAATAAAGCCATTTCCACCCTATTAGAAAAAAGCCAGTAAATCTTTCAGCTGTGAGGGGCTCTGAGCTGGTCTGGAAAAAGGCATGAGGCCCTCTGCTCTGCCTGGTGTAACTCCCTCCTGGCTCATCTTGGTCAGGCGGCCGGCCTCACCTATACACACCTGGGCTCCTTCTGCAATCGCCTCTGCTGTCCACCCGTGGGCGGGCACAAACTCTAGGGCTGCCGTCAGGATGCGGTGCTGCAGCTGCTCCTCACTCTCATAGTCCTCCTCCTCCTCACCGCCCTGGTCTGTATACCTGAGACAAAGACACAGCCCAGCATACTTCATCTCCTGGCATGCACCACAGGCCTGACCAGAAACCAGAGGCTCTGGATCTCCTCTAAGCACATGCTGGTAAGACATTTACTCTTGCGTCAGTATCACTTTTTTTTTTTTTTTTTGCGAGTGTCTCCCTCTGTTGCCGAGGCTGGAGTGCAGTGGTATGATCTCGGCTCACTACAATCTCCACCTCCTGGTTTCAAGCGATTCTCCTGTTTCAACCTCCTGAGTAGCTGGGACTATAGGTGTGTGCCACCACATCCAGCAAATTTTGGATTTTTAGTAGAGACAGGGTTTTACCATGTTGCCCAGGCTGGTCTTGAACTCCTGACCTCAAGTGATCTTCCTGCCTCAGCCTTCCCAAGTGCTGGGTTTACAGGCATGAGCCACCGCGCCCGGCCAGTATCAACGTTTTAACACCAACAGAGTAAAAACTAGATCATCCCTTACCTCCCCATAGCCCCCGAGGTCATGTGGTATGAAGGCAGTGCTCCTGCTGCACCCTGGAGTTCCCTGTCTTCAGCCCTTAGCACACTATGCTCAGAGGGTTTCTTTATCTAACTCACACCAGACTGTACCTCCATGAGGGCAGGGGGAATGCTACGTTACTCACAGGGCCTGGCATGACAGTAGGGCCTCAAAAAATATTTCTCAAATTGAAATGAAAAGTACTTTAGATAGGAAACCAGAAAAATGAAAAGCAACACTCTAATTTCAGATCTAGAGAAACTTTTCAATGGCAGGATTAGGGAAAAAAAAAAACCTCTAATGGAAATATTAATCAGTATTACCTTTCTGGAGGGCAACTGGCCCCACATATGCAATGAATCTTTAAATGTACATATCCTTTGACTCAGCGCTCCCACTTCTATTGAGAGATTCAAATACTTTATCACATTATTTCTTATACTAGTGAAGGAAATCTAAATAGCCACCAAAAAAGGTTAAACAAATTTCAGTACAGCTATTTGCTGGAATGTTATACAACTATTAAACTATGAAAAGACATTACAAATGTACTGTTGAGTGAAAAAATAGGTTCTAGAACAACATGTAGAGTTTATACACCTATCTATTCTATATAAAAATTTATATGAAATAAGCTTAGAGAAACATCTAAAAGGATATTCACAAAAATGTTAGCAGGATTGTCTCTATAATTTTGGATAAAACTGATTTATTTTTGTGAACTTCTCTATACTGTTTAGATGTCTTAGAACAAACAGGCACCAATTTTATAAAAATAATAGGTTCTTTTCAAAGACAGCCTTGGGGCCAGGTGCAATGGCTCACACCTGTAATCCCAACACTTTGGGAGGTTTAGGGAGAAGACAGCGTGAAACCTAGGAGTGTGAGTCCAGTCTGGGCAACATAGCAAGAAACCATCACTACAAAAAATAAAAAATTCTAAAAAACAAAGATAGCCTTGGAAATGAAGGAAGGTACAAAAGCGGATGGAGAGGAGAGAGGAAGTGAAGGAGGAACATATTGAAGCATGTGAAGTGGCCAGAAATAGGTAGATTGGTGCCTACCTGGGAGGCGAATGAGAAGCCTCTGCATCAGGTTTTTCTGCCCCCTGTGTCTCAGAATGCTGCTGAGAAAATGACAAGGGAGGCTGCTGCTTCTGCTCATCTGAAGACCTTAGCTCCACAGCTGAAGCATGGAAGGCACGTGGCATCAGGGCTGGTCGGCAACGGGCCACTGAAACAGAAACTGGGCTGGTCAGTCAGGGACATTCAACAGAGAAGACTCTTCAGACCCAGAGTGGTAATACAGACAAGGAGGAGGAAAAGCAGGCTACAGACTCCTCCACAAGCACTTATCCAAGTGTTGGGTCCCACATAAAAATATTAAGTAAACTGGGAACCTTGGGACATGAAGTGGTAGCAAAAGTGGAAAGCCAGGAAACAAGATCTACCTAGTGACTCGACCTGTTTCTTCCACTAGTTACCTGTGTGGTAACTGGCAAACAATTTCACCCCAACATGCAGGTTTTAAAATCTGCATATTTAGAGCAATCTCTACTTGCTAGATGAGAGCGCTGTGTGGCCCAAACAAAAAGTAAAAGTGGCTTGCAAATGTTACATATTTATATATATTATGGCAAGAGCTCTGGAGTAGTAATTTGAATGTCTCAGTCCTCAGTGTCTATATGCTATCTCTAGACGAGTCACTAATCTCTACTTTCCCATCTGCAATATCTGCAACATCCTCATTTACTTTAAGAAAGATGAGAAGTATGTTTCCTAAGCATAAACTCACACTACTTTTTAATTTCCCAACATTTTTTATTCTAAAAAAAAAATTTTTTTTTTGTCAGTCTCACTCTGTCACCCAGACTGGAGTGTAGTGGCACTATCTTAGCTCACTGCAACCTCTGCCTCTCAGGCTCAAGCGGTTCTTGTGCCTCAGCCTCCCAAGTAGCTGGGATTATAAGCACCTGCCACCACTCCTGGCTCATTCTTGTATTTTTAGTAGAGATGGGGTTTTACCATGTTGGCCAGGCTGGTCTCAAACTCCTGACCTCAAGTAATTGTCTGTCTTGGCCTCCCAAAGTGCTAGGATTATAGGCATAAGCCACCACATCTGGCCTATTATAAAAATTTTCAAACATGCAAATTGAAAGAATTACGGAATGAACACCTGTATATCCACCATTAGGTTCTACACATCTGTCATGCTCTTCATTCATCTATCTTGATTTTCTGTGCATTTGTTACAGATATCAGTATTATTCATCTCTAAACATTTTATCTTGGAAGAGTTCTACGTTCACTTTTTAAAATTAAGATGCCGTTTACACACAATTAAATGCATAAATCTTAAGTGTACCATTCTATGAGTTTTGACAAATGTATATACTTGCACAACCTGAACCCAATCTAAACAGAGAACATTACTGCCACCCCAGAAAGTTCCCTTATGCCTTTTCAGTCATTCTCCGTTCATACTCTTCTGAATTTTTCACTCTAGGTTAGTTTTGCCTCTCCTAGGATTTCATCTACATGTATGTGTTTCAGTAAAGCCTCTTTCACTTAGGATTATATAAATGTGTGTGTGTGTGTGTGTGTGTGTGTATGTGTATATATATAAGTTTAAACACAGAGTCTCGCTGTGTGTGTGTGTATATATAATATATATATACACATATATATACATGTGTGTATATATATATATATATATATATATATAAACATATATATATATAAAAGTTTAAACACAGAGTCTCACTATGTTGCCCAAAATGGTCTCAAACTCCTCAGCGCAAGCAACCCTTCCACCTCGGCCTCCCAAAGTGCTGGGATTACAGGCAATGGGCCACCACACCTGGCCCACTTAGTATATTTTTCAGATTGATCTGTATTTTTATGCAAACCAGTAGATGTGGCAAAGATTCTGTCCTTGACCAGACTCTAACCAGGTTCTGAGCCCTCTTCTTATCTAGGCTTCAATCTTGGCCTATAAAGACTTGGACACACACTAACACAAGCTTCACTCAGGGCCCCATCCCTTAAGACGACCCTAGCCCCCATCAAAGTGCCTGCCTGAGAAAACTCAAGGCTGCCAAAAAAAATTTACTGTTTATTCTGGCTAAACTTAAGGATAGGGCTTTTGTCTCTCTGTGGGAAAACAGAATCCTAAGTTTGTTGACTGCCAGCTACCAGACCAATCTCATTTATACTAACCCTGCATAATTTTTCACTTTCCTGACTCTACTGAGTCCCCACCTGCCTTCCTCCCTCTTCCCTCATTTTTTCTTTAAAACACTTAGTTACTTCTGCATGCACCAAATTCAAGGTTGAGTTCAGTTCATGCTAGACTCTTTTCACTACTGCAATAGTTATTACCGATTAAAAACAGTTCTTACTACTTTAGTGTCCAGCTTTGACTGATTTTTAGTTTTTATTGCAGAGTAGTATTCCATAAAAAAGACTATTCTGTTGATAGACAACTGTGCTGTTTTTGTGTTTGGCTACTATGAATATACTTGTACAAACTTTTTTGTAGACACATACCTTCACTTCTGGATTTGCGGGGTCATAGGCATTACTTTTACTACACATCTTTAGTTCAGAATTTTGTATAAATACAACAAAAGGGTGCTGGGCGGTGGTGGCTCACCCCTGTAATCCCAACACTTTGGGAGGCTGAGGCGGGCGGATCACTTGAGGTGAGGAGTTTGAGATCAGTTTGGCCAACATGGTGAAACCCCGTCTACTGAAAATAAAAAATTAGCTGGATGTGGTGGCACAAGCCTGTAATCCCAGCTACTCGGGAGGGTGAGGCAGGGGAATCGCTTGAACCCAGGAAGCAGAGGTTGCAGCAAGCGGAGACTGTGCCACTGCACTCCAGCCTGGGCTACAAAGTGAGACCCTGTCTCAACAACAACAACAACAACAACATCAGTCAAGTAGGATAGCATGCACCTGTAGTCCCAGCTTCTCAGAAGGCTGAGGAGCCAGACTTTATCACAGGGAAAAAAAGAAAAAGAAAAAAAAACAGTATTCATAAAAATATAAATATTTTAATATATGTACGGAAAGATATGGCACACGTATCCATAAAACTCTGAAAAGGAAGAAGCGGATGCAAAGTATAACTGTAGTACCACCGAGGTTCAAGAGATTTTAGGTGAAATACAGATGAACACTTCATCAGTTATTTACGTATGCTAAAGTGTTTACGCATACATTCTATTTAAGGAAAGCAATATTCGTTTTCCATTTACGGCAGTAATATAAAGTTTCTTTTTTTGTTTTTTTGAGACAGAGTCTTTCTGTCGCTCAGGCTGCAGTGCAGTGGCACGATCTCGGCTCACTGCAACCTCCGCCTCCTGGGTTTAAGCGATTCTTCTGCCTCAGCTTCCCCAGTAGCTGGGATTACAGACGCGCGCCACCACACTCGGCTAATTTTTCTATTTTTATTAGAGACGGGGTTTCACCATGTTTGCCAGGCTGGTCTTGAACTCCTGAGCTCATGATCCGCCCGCCTCGGCCTCCCAAAGTGTTGGGATTACAGTCATGAGCCACAGCGCCCAGCCTTAAAGTTTCCTCTTTAAAAGGAACTCCTACGTAAAAATTAAAATACTGAGTACATAGTGGCAAAGGTGGTAAGAGAGTATCACAGAATTCGTGAAGTGGTGGGGAAACGACTGGCTTTCGGGAAGCAATGGACTAGGCTCTCTGTGGCCGTGTCCACCTGTCCTTCCAGTGGACTTGGCAATGAAGTTGAGAATGGTTCTAGGACTGCCAGTTCTGTAATCAACAGGCTGCGTGACCTTGGTGCCTCTAGACCTCTCTGAGGCTCCGCTAACTCCAGAAATGGGGGTGACAGGCCCTGGACCGCTGCACCTGCACCTCACAGGCAGCCAGGCAGGGCCGAAGCTGGCCAGGCGGCTCGCCCGAGCCCGCGCCGATGCCCTTCACCTCACCTTGCTAGCGGGCCGCCCTAACGGCCTCTTCCCCCCACCGCCGCACCCAGCTCAAGCCGGCCTTGCACCCCCTCCGCGCTCCCCGCCTCTCGCCGGCTTGGCCGCCCCCTCACCGGGCAGGCATCGCAGCTGCAGGAACCTCCAGCCCGCCCGGCCAAGCGCACCGGAGACCGCCGCCACCGCCATGTTGAAGGCGGGCACGTAGCCCACGGCGATGCGACAGGCAGCGTCGGGACCATGGCGCTTGAAGGGCGGAAGTAACGGCGCCGCGGAGCCTCCTCCTCTCGCGAGAAGCGCGAGGCGTGGGGTCGACTGCAGAGGAGAAACCGGGAGCGAGCCCAGGCGGCAGGTGAGAGTGGTGGGGGCCAGCTGAAAGCTAGAGTTCCGTCAACTGCCCCCTCCGGCCCACTCTCGTCTCACATCCCCTCATTTCATCTTCCCACCCCTGTCCCTCAATGGGAACGCAGCCACTGCTGCCCCGCTGAGAGCCCCGGCGGGCTTATTCCTGAGAAGTCAGTGTGAGGGGCCAGGGCCGGCCCTGCCCACCCCGGGATCCTGACTGAGAATTCACCCCGTTTCCGGGCTGCCTCGTCCCTTGCGCTGCTCGCCTTACTCTGAGGCCCCGGGGCCACCACGCTGAGAAGAAGGGGCCCCGAGCTCTGGGGTCCGGGAGAACTGGTTCTGAGACCCGATCCTACCAGTCAGTCGCCAATCGTTATGACCTTGGGCCTCAGTCCCCGTGAAGTTTCGGTTCCTGGGGGTTCCTGGCAGCAAAGCCCGAAAGCCTGGGGGTACCTGAGCTGGTGATTGTAATTTCGAGCCTGCGACTTGTCCGAACCCCCAGCGTGTTGAGTTGGTATAATTAAGTATCCAGATCGGAAGGATGCTTGTTACTAGGACAGCCAGGTCTTTGTCCTGGAGGATGGATGGATTGAGTGGGAGTGCGTGTGGTCCAGGAATCTCATTTTAACCACTACCTCTGGGTGATGTGTGGGATCTGCACGTTCGGGAAAGGCTGGTGCCCTTCATTCTGACATTACTGAGTGCTAAGCTCCGGATGGCTCAAGGAGGTCACGGTCCAGCCCCTAACAGAGCGCCTCACTGGGGTGTCCTCAGGGAAGGCTTAATAGGAAGAAGTAAATGGGTTTTGGACTAAGAGTAACTGACGACAAGAGGATGTGATTCTGTCGATTTTGTGTTTGCAGTCAGATCCCATCTTTGTTAAAGTTGTGTTTTGTACACACCTTATCAACTCTAGTCTTTTCAGAACATCCTCCTCCTCACTACACGAGTGTGGGGAAGACCTCCTAAGCCAAAACTTACCCCAAAAGTTAACATTTTAGATCCGTATTTCTGGTTTTAGGTAAAACACTCCTCTGTGAGGACTTGTTTCTGAGTTCTGTCCAACCATCTTTGAATGAGTCTTTCCTGTGGAAACTAGCATTTGGGTATCCTTTTTGAAACCCTAATTCCTGACACACACCAAATGCCTGGAGACATTCCTGTTGCATTGTTGATTCTCACTTTTTAAAAAAATTCTGCGCCAGGCTCATGGCTGTAATCCCAGCACTTTGGGAGGCTGAAGTGGGTGGATCACAAGGTCAGGAGTTCAAGACCAGCCTGGCCAAGATGGTTAAACCCCATGCCTGCTAAAAATACAAAAATCAGCCGGGCATGGTGGCAGGCACCTGTAATCCCATCTCCTCAGGAGGCCGAGGCAGAGAATTACTTGAACCCAAGAGGTGGAGGTTGCAGTGAGCCAAGATTGCGCCACTGCACTCCAGCCTGGGCAGCAGAGCAAGACTCTGTCTCCAAAAAAAAAAAAAAAAAAAAATCCCTAAGGTCTTAGTCTAAGTGTCAAGATGGCAGGGAACAAGTGCCGCTTTGTCTGTCTCTCTTGTAGGGGCAGACACTTAGTAGGTTCCTTTGGTCTCATTTGCAGATTGTAATTGTGCCTTCTTACCATTCTGCTAAAGCTGACAGGGAAACTGAGGCCCAGAGAGGGGCAATGGCTGGCTTAGATTACACAGTAGGCTGGTTAGGCCCACTTGGTGCTGGTCACCAAGAGGACAGGCACTACCATGCATGTGCACAACAGCTTCAGTTAATTTTATTTTTAAATTTTATTTATTTATTTTCGAGATCACCTAGGCTGGAGTGCAGTGGTGAGATCTTGGCCTACTGCAACTTTGACCTCCTGGCTTCAAGCAATTCTCCCTACCTCAGCCTCCCAAGTAGCTGGGATTACAGGTGCATGCCACCATGCCCGACCAATCTTTGTATTTTTAGTAGAGGCAGCAGTTTTCCATGTTGGCCAGGCTGGTCTTGAATTCGTGACCTCAGGTGATCCACCCGCCTTGGCCTCCCAAAGTGCTGGGATTGCAGGCGTGAGTCATCGCACCCAGCCCAGTTAGTTAATTTTAATTAGGATTTTCTTTTTGATAACTGTCAGTATTCTTAGAATTCTTTTATGCATCTGAGTTAAAGGATTTTTTTGAACTGAAGCCCAAACTTCAGTCTTATTTTTTTCTTTTGTCCTCTTTCACCAGAAGAGAGACCAAGTGCAACAAGATCTGATGCGTACTGGGCACCTTAAAAACAGACGTTATTCTCAGACACCCACTTTTACTGCTGGCCAATAACATTTTAGAAGGGCCATGGACATGTGTGCACCTCAGTCAGAGTTGAAGAGGTACCTAACAAGCTCAGTGACGTGACAGTGATGCCACCTCTTATGAAACTAGGCCCTAAGTCATAGCTTCTAACCATGTTATCTTAGATGCTGGACACATTTTCCTTATGAGTTTTTTTGTTTTAAAAGACAAATTCACAACAGCAACATAAAACTCTGACGATGAAAAGTATCACACTTTGGCTTTAGATATTTAAAAGAATATTATCTTATTTGAAAACTGCTGACTGAAAGTAGTGGCTATGCCTGTTTTTTGAGGGTTGATGTTTAATAAATGTAGTTCATAAGCTCCTCTTGCCGTAAGATTAGTTTTGGGAGATACGGAACACAAAGCATTCTACCTTCTTCTAATTTATTGACACAGTCCCACTGCAGTTCTGTCCAAAGATCATAAAGTGCAGCTCTTACACTATAATTATAACAATGAAAAAGCAGCTTCCCATCACTCCCTTGGGTGTCCTTCTAGAAGGCATGGCTAAGCAGAAACAGGTTTTTATAGGACTGTTTGAAGCAAAGGCAGGTAAAGTAGCAACAGAGACGTGGAGGCTCAGAGTTCTCCTAGAACATTACTTTATGGAGCTCTGTGTGCCAGAGCCTGCCAAGTGCCTTACATATTTTTATCTTCTCATTTGCTTCTTATAGCAGCCTCCCAAAATACAAGGTTATTATCCCTACTTTACCGATGAGAAAATGGATTCAAAGAGTCTAATGGCTTACCCATGGTCATGTGCCCGTTAGATCCAGTGGTAGATAGAACCCTAGGTCATCTGTACTCAAAACCTTTATCCTATAAAACTGCCTCTATAAATGTTGCTGAAAAGGTCTAGATGTTTGGCTTTTTGTTTTTCTCTAGCTAATTGCCCCTTGTTTCCTTCATGGGTTTTTCTGTAAGCACAGTGCAAAGTTGGTAGTAGTCTGATAGGTAGAGTCTTTATCATCCCTTTCTATTGTTCCAAGGGAGAACCTATCCCAACATCATTCTAGAAACAGGTCACTTAATGCCCAGCAATCCACACTCCCATCTTGCCTGGCTGGTTCTTAAATGTGAGATTGATTCCACATTGCACACCTTAAAGTTTGCAAGCGTTCTTCCTCAGCATCATGTGCCAGTTAAAAGTCTCAGTTCTTAATTGTGTGCTTTTTAGGGATTTAAAAACCAGAATTGGCCAGGCACGGTGGCTAACACCTGTAATCCCAGCACTTTGGGAGCCCGAGGCAGGCAGATCACTTGAGGTCAGGAGTTCAAGACCAGCCTGGCCAACATGGTGAAACACTGTCGCTACTAAAAATACAAAAATTAGCCAGGCGTGTGGCATGCACCTGTAATTCCAGCTACTTGGGAGGCTGAAGCATGAGAATTGCTTGAACTCTGGAGGCAGAGGTTACAGTGACCTGAAATCATGCCACTGCATTCCAGCCTGGGTGATAGAGTGAGACTCTGTCTCAAAACAAACAAACAAACAAACAGAATTAGCCAATTGCAGTGGCTCATACCTGTAATCCCAGCACTTTGGGAGGCTGAGGTGGGAGGATCACCTGAGTTCAAGACCAGCCTGACCAACTGGAGAAACCCCATCTCTACTAAAAAAATACAAAATAAGCTGGGCATGGTGGCGCATACCTGTAATCCCAGCTACTCAGGAGGCAGAGGCAGGAGACTCGCTTGAACCTGGGAGGCGGAGGTTGCAGTGAGCCGAGATTGCACCGTTGCACTCCAGCCTGGGCAACAAGAGCAAAACTCTGTCTCCAAAAAAAAAAAAAAAAAAAAAAAAAAAAAAAAAACAATTGAATTAGTCTCTTTTTTGTTATTTTTTCTTTTTTTTTCCCCTCCATTTTTACTTGCCTTCTGTCATTTAAAAAAACCAGAGTTAAATTACTAAAGAATCCTACTTGTCCGATAACACTTAGCATTCTTTTAGTGGCACTTGCAGTTGGGTCATATGGAAACAGCTAGATAAAAGGCATGAAGGGAAAATGCAAAGGGTTTTCATAGAATAAGGAGTGATCCCTTTGGAGTGGTGGGAGATACAAGTGGAGCCGGATTATGGAGGCCGTGGATCCAGAATGCTAATTGACTTCACTCTAGCAAATAAAACCTTTAGTGAAAAGAGTGACAAATCAAAGTGCTATAGTATTTAATGCTTATGTATTAAGTTAATGTCCTGGGTATGTTTTATAGACAAAGAGGAGAGTTACTTGAAGTGAACTTTGTTTTTTTGTTTTGTTTTGTTTTTGAGACAGGGTCTTGCTCTGTTACCCAGGCTGGAGTGTAGTAGTACGGTCTTGACTCACTGCAGGCTCAACCTCCTGGGCTCATGCAGTCCTCTCACCTCAGGCCTTTCTCTCCACCCCAGTAGCTGGGGCTACATAAAATTACCACATAAGACTACCACACTCAGCTAATTTTTATATTTTTAGTAGAGACGGGGTTTTACCATGTCACCCAGGCTGGTCTTTAACTCTTGGACTCAAGGGATCCACCTGCCTCAACTTCCCAAAGTGCTGGGATAATAGGCATGAGCCACCACACCCAGCTATAATTTTTTATTTTTTGAGACAGTCTCGCTC